TACAGAGGGCATGGTTCTGTCACCGGCTTGCTGTGCCCCCCTCGCGGCAAAAATAAGATCTATATAGAGGGATCAGGACCTCCTTCCTCCTGCTGGGGACCCCTCTAGTGATAGATCTATATAGAGGGATCAGGACCTCCTTCCTCCTGCTGGGGATCCCTCTAGTGATAGATCTATATAGAGGGATCAGGACCTCCTTCCCCCCGCTGAGGACCCCTCTAGTGATAATAAAGATCTATATAGAGGAATCAGGACCTCCTTCCTCCTGCTGGGGACCCCTCTAGTGATAGATCTATATGGAGGGATCAGGACCTCCTTCCTCCTGCTGGGGACCCCTCTAGTGATAGATCTATATAGAGGGATCAGGACCTCCTTCCTCCTGCTGGAGACCCCTCTAGTGATAATAAAGATCTACATAGAGGGATAAGGACCTCCTGCCCGGGGGCATACTCTTTCCTCACCCGGATTCTTCTCATTCGGCAGTTTTGGGGTGCAGGGAACCTCGATATTATAGTGGACTTTAGTTTTCCATAGAAACGGTGAACTGCTTTGGCCAATGGAACCCTCCGCTGCGGTCTGGAACACGATCTCAGATAACAATGGAGACATTTCTCTTTCTTCTCCAACCAACCTGCTCACTTTGAGGTCAGTGCGGATGACGAGGGCGGACTCTGGGCCTGGAGGACAATTCGGGAACCTCGGTCCTGGTCACAGCGGATCCTCTCCCGGCAGGTTTCGTGTCTTCAGGTGGTTTTACATTTCAGCTGCAATGTAGGTCAGTGGGGCATCGGTTGTAATAATGAGGAATGGATCTGCTGCCACCTGGTGGTTGGGGTCGGTACGGCGGCAGAACTCTACGAGGGGATTGTTGGGCATTTGGAGGTGTTTTTGGGTTTTAGTGATCGGCGGGATTTTTGAGTGATGTCATTTCTTGCCTTTTGGTTCTCACACACGAGGCCTCTTCCGTGGCCCTGATCATGTGATGATAGAAATCAGAGAGCCCCCACCCCTTGTTTCTGAAGGTGCAGAGTCTGGGGGCCGTCATCGCAATCCCCAGCTTCTCGTCTCAGTGACTGACCAACCCGACACCAGTACGGAAAGACTTTGCATACGGCATTAGTTATATATTTGCGACAGAAGAGTTACCTACCGAACCTCTGCTACCCTCCGGCCCACCCAAACCAGCAGGGTGCTGCACACAGGAACCTGAAACCATCACAGCCCCCCTGCCTCAGTTCTCCTCTCCAGAGCCCTCAGCCCTGATGCAAGCAGTGGGCGGGGTCTTGGGAGGAGTTATCACTCATTAAGGTATTTTTATATTTGCACGTCAGTTTGGAGGAGGGGACCGTCCTAAGGGGTGTATTTGCATGCAGGCCGCCCATATGTGACGCTGAGCCTCCATGATGATGCTGGACGTCCCTCGGCCAGGAAATGAGGCGGAGCTCTATCTGTCTTGCTTCAGCTTCTAATGTTCATTGTGAGAGGATCCCAGTGTGCGGTGATATCAGAGGAAGAAGAGAGGAGCCGCTACAACTGTGCAAGACTGGAGGGTTAGGCCGGAGGTCAGATAGAAGACTGAAGGGGAGGACGGAGGTCAGATAGAAGACTGAAGGGGAGGACGGAGGTCAGATAGAAGACTG